AAATGTTACGTTGTTTTTGTTTTCTCTGTTTCCTTTGTTTTTCCAGCATTTACAGGGGTACAGGTAGACAAGTTAACCTGGAGTCACGATCATAAAAGGAGATCGCATGTTGTCTGTATGTTAATTGTCGTAACTTCCAAGGGAATATCATATTCTGTGTCACCCGGATTAATCGTTATCACTTCAAAGGTGAGGTAACAGGTTCGATGTCTGTGATAATTTGACTTAGAGTAAGTTAAATACATGTCGTTACCCAGGTAAAGTTTGGTGTTCTGTATCGGCAATTAGTTGGCACTGGATCAGCATATTAGCTTCCAAAGAGAGATATGTTTTGTAGTTACAGAGAGATACTACACATTATTCTAAGTTGGATTTGTTAGTATAATCTCTATTAAATACCTGGATGCATTAAACATATCTGGCTCAGATTAAGGTTCATCAAAACCAAACTAGCTTAATATAAAACAGAAATCACTGTGACGGTGGTGAGATTATGGTATATGATGTAAGGTAGGTTCGATTCACTGCACCCATAGACCTTTACCATTGTGATTGTAGCCAGTACGGTTGCCAACACCGACTTTTAACCGGGGATGGCACGAGAGTGTTTATGATGGCGCCCTAGTAATGTTCGTCTTGACTAGTTGCTGGGTATGACAACCTTCATTCTCAGTCTCGTAAATCAAAGTTGGGTTGTCGGGCAGTGGCATGACACCAGTCTATAACTTAACACAGCGTAGCCATTATAGGGGCGCCATTACTGCCCAATTATACATTTAGACGGGTAATTATGTCAGGTATCTGTGTACACTTCACCAATAACGCGTTTACGAACTTACAGATTCTTTTTTCTTCTTCTATCTTTTCCGTTATTTTATCAACATTTTTGTTATCGTACTGAACAATTGGATTGAGTTTCCAGATACCGGACGCACAGTGCTTATTTCTGGAAAGGTTTGTACGGCACAGTTTAAATTCGAGAGTAATTGAACTGTGTGCCACCTAAGCCTCAGATTTACTCTACTTGCAGAAAACGATCATTTTGCTTCATCGATCAACCAGCTGAGTTAACGCTGAAAATTGATTTAATGCACAAGTAACAATTACTTCATAAAGTATTGCACGATTCTACCAGAACGGTGTCAGTCCTTATCTCCATCCCTGTTGACCAAGGTATCAGCTGCATGAGCTGTGCAATACTTTACGAAAATAAAAGTATGCTAACAAAATATTATATTCCTTAGAGCCGGGTTTATCTGACTTCGGGCCAACTGCATGTAATATTCAACAAACATGTACACGGATGTAAATGCAAAATTAATGCTATTCATCTTTCAAATGGAAGAGAATTTATAACAATAACTAGGTATTTTGCGTTTCCCCCTACCCAATGACGCATTAAGCCTAATTGATATTTGTACTTCTGTTAATCTACACCGACTGCCACGGGAAATAGCCGCGTTCTATTTGAGCAATGTATGGCAGTTCTCTCTCAAAATATCTTTGCTTTCTATCTCAGGATTCTTTTTAAAGAAAACTATAGTTGAAAAAGGAACGAATGATTCCACATTACGTCTCTTGATTATTCCAGCATGTTGAAAACAGATGTCTGTAAGTTTAAAAACGTGTATACACGAATGTTTTTCTCAACACTAAAACCATTTTGCGTTGGTTTATAAGAGATAGCTGATGATATGTGGTAGAACCATTGCTGTATATATGTCTCACACAAAAACTTACATTGAGTCAAACTTTATCGGGTGATGGGAGGATATAACGCCTATTAATTTGTATAATTGCAAGATGAAGGACTGAGAGGCCATTATTAAGGCACCTTAAAGCCCCGATAAGCGAAATGGCATACAGTATAACGTAGGGCGGACGCAAGAAGCAACTGAATCATTTTATCTTTCTTGTTAGACAGTAAATATGATCGATATATGGAGCTTGGAATGAACTTATAACAGGGACGTTCCTGGTCGAGAGGCCCCCTTTTTCGCATTGTGTCGGCAAAAAATCATCTAATCTATGATCGAAACAAAGCTTTTCCTTAATAGTCTGTAATTGTAGTGTAGAGGTCATAAAAAGCGTCTTGAAGTAACCAATTGATTTCAGATTCTGTTGCATGGATTGAACGATTAGAAAACCCGAAATCAATATTTATGTGATTTGTCAGACTTTTAATCATTCTGGCTATTCCGTCGTAGGAGATGTTTTATTTGAAATGTTTTGACGGAGAAATAAATCCTTTTGCCGAACAAATTCCAACATTTTGAGCTATAAATGACTTGTTAATTTTTATCGATTGCAATTCTTCAAATGGTGTTGTAATTTTACATACAAATGTGTTATTCTTTGTCCTAATGTTTACTGATTTAGTAATCTTCTCGACAGGGCCTGATTCTAGCCTACTAATGACAGTTTGATCTATATAACAACTGTGACCCACGATGGCTTTGTGGTGGGAACGGAATTTCATATATTTACATTTTCTTTGGAAATAATCTTATTTCGTTTTGATAAGATAGGGACCCTTTCGATATAATGAATCAGAGATAAATGATTCTTTAAATATTCTCCAGTAAAGCCTGAGCAATACTTCATTTTATACACTTGCGTAATTGTACATTACGCCATTTTAACACCTAACCAGAGTTTGATCAAGACAGATGAGGTTTATACGTGAACAGTTTATTTGGCGTGAAGAAAGCCTAGTTGTTTCTCATGTACGCTCTGCGGCTTCAGATGACGCCTGCGTCTGGCAAGTCATGTGACCTGATCATATCGTGATATCAGATTAAGCGGAGACGAGTTTCATGCGAAGTGCAGAATATAATTCAATCTATTCAAATTTATGACAAGCACGTGGTTGAGAATGTAAATATTAATATGCTCTATTGCTGAAATATGGGAAATCAATCTGTCCCTGTTTGAAATGTCGTATGCATTAGGATAATTAAGATCATGGGAGACATCGGTTTGTAGCTCGTATGTGTAGCTCATAAGTTCACCAAGCGCGTGTCATTACAATGATTATATGTAAGAGGTAACCCGTAAGTAGGCACTGGGTACTTATTAATTGTTTACTACATGTATCAGTCCAAATATACTAGACTGCACTCCGTCTCTAGAAATTTATATAGATATTTAATTATTTAGAAAAAAACCTCTTAATTTTGATTACTTGGTTGTCTGATTCCTAAGTTCTAACCTAGGGGGGATAATTTAGCTAGAAGTAAAATGCAGTTGAGAAATTCTTCATAAAAACTTGGAGGCGTGTAGCCAGTCTACAAATGTACCTATCCATAAACTATTATCGGATCGATTTTAGATATTTCAATATTGTTAATTAAGAAATTTGATATGAAGAACAGCATAAGATACTTGGTTTTAATACCGACCTAACCTAACATCTGCGGACCGAGTGTTACGTTTCACAGATAATGTTTTGCCAATCCCCTGAACATTCTTTGTTTTTAGAAATAATGCTACCTATCTCCATGATACCGATATATATGATTTCACATTATAATGTTGGTGTGTTGTTTTAGACACTTATATTATAAGGTACCGTTAACGCCTCACAAAGAGGTAATTGTTTCCTGGGGCAATCCTGATATCGGATATCAGCCTACATTTATTGTGTGATATCCATTTTTAATTCTGCTTAGTCAGGGAATTTGTGTACATATATTTAGAACAAGTTGTCAAAATAAAACTTTACATTCAGACATAAGCAATCCATTTATATACAATGGTGACGAAAGTCAATTTCATTCTCCTGAAGTCTTTCGTTTTAGAAAACACGAATTTCTATATTGTTCCTTTGTGGATAGTTTTAACGATATTTTACACGGACTCCTATGCCGTTGCGCAGAATTATACAATAGTGTAATCAATATCCTATCAGTAAATGGAAGGAAATCCAAACGATGATTTTAATTGAGGTATGTAGTACAATTCCTTCAAAAGATTCATGAGTTAAGGAAAGCTGTTATCTGCATTTTGTAACATTTCTAAATATACATTCTAACCTGTGCAAACGTGGAAACCAGTAGCTCTTCCTGAAATAATTAAACTGCACTGAAGACATTTTACTATTATCTTAACGATCTTATTTCCATATACGAAATCCAACTGACTACCAAGATTGAAGAATTGTTTCTTAGATCATAATCGTTGATAACATAAATATTGTATTGGATTTGACGGGAGACCTCCTGACGGGTATTACATGTGGTGTTTTTAACGCTTACCCTTCCGGAACACTTGCTCTCGCCTTTGTCTTTAGTTGGTTGGTGGTCGTGATATCCTTTCTTTTTTTGCATGTCACTGAAATTCTTGTTTGATATTTCTGATATACTCAAAATGTAATTTGTGAAAAACATAACAATTCATGTGACTTACCTATCATCACACTAACCACTTTATGATCATTATTCGAACTATGTAAGACACAGAAGAACAGTTTACCAGTTTTCAACACAACTGTCCATATATAATATCATGTAGAATAAACTTTCTATTTATAGTTGATACATGATGTAAAATGCGACGACAATATTGTCAGGTTCGTTAACAGTTTAATACGGTTATTATACAATAATGGTGTTCAAATAAATGGAAACAATGCTTACTCTTATGTATGTTCCTAGAATCGAGTCTGGAATAGATTTACATTCTCCCTACGTGACCGCCTCTCTTCCAATCAATTGTATAGATCAGCAGCAGGCGTATCCTAATCAAAAATGTGGTCTTTCGCTAACTGTAAATACTCTTACCTGTCTATAATAGCGGTTTATTATAACCTTTTTTGTATTTCTTTGAATGAGTTTAAGTTCTTATCACCTTTGCCATTAATTGTTGATGTTATACAGATAACTACACCAACCACGAGTGTCTCTCCTGGTCAACCATTGATACCCAACCCGTATATGTACTAGAAACAGTTACATGTCTAATACACAGTTGGAAAATAAATCACAAATGAAAATTTATAACGTTCAATCAAATAATTTAATAGAGATTTATACATATTTTTTCATTTGAAAGCACAAACAATTGGGTAAATACAATCTGCATTTCTGTTAAACACATTCTCACACTGTTGACTTGAATCACATATAATTAAGTAGTTGTTCAATAGAAATAGATATTAAAATTTGAGACAAAAAACGTTGTATATCATGTCAAGCCAAGCAGTAGACTTGAATTATTCAAATGCCCTAATTATATCATAGCATTTACGCTTTAATTGAAAGCAGCCTCGTTTGAACATTTCCAACGCAAGTGTTAATTTAAAATGTAAAAGATACGGTATCAATGTAAGCACTATAGGTGGAATATGTCTGAGGTTTATGTCAGCATTAGAGGGCTACGTCTGAGGTTTATGTCAGCGCTAGAGGGTTACGTCTTGGGATTATGTCAGCACAAGAAAGTGGATTATGTCTTAGGCTAAGTTCAGCACTAGTGGGTGGATTATGTCTGAGGTTAAAGTCAGTACTAAAGGGTGGATTATGCCTGAAGTCAGTGTCAGCACAACAGGGAATATAATGTGAGAAGTTAATGTCAGCACGAGAAGATTATACCTGAGGTAAATGTCAGCACTAGGTGTGTATGGCTGAGGTGAATGTCAGCACTAGAGGGAGATTATATCTGAGATTAATATCAGTACTAGAGGGTAGATTATGTCATAGGTTAATATCAGCACTAGAGGGTAGATTATGTCTGAGGTTAAGTTCAGCACTAGAGGGTGGATAATGTCTGAGGTTAAGTTCAGCATTAGAGGAAAGATTATGTCTGAGGTTAATGTCAGCACTAGAGGGTGGATAATGTCTGAGATTAATATCAGTACTAGAGGGTGGATAATGTCTGAGGTTAAGTTCAGCACTAGAGGGTGGATAATGTCATAGGTTAATATCAGCACTAGAGGGTGGATTATGGCTGATGTTTATGTCAGCACTAGAGGGTGGATAATGTCTGAGGTTAAGTTCAGCATTAGAGGGTGGATAATGTCTGAGGTTAATATCAGCACTAGAGGGTGGATAATGTCTGAGGTTAAGTTCAACACTAGAGGGTGGATAATGTATGAGGTTAATATCAGCACTAGAGGGTAGATTATGTCTGAGGTTAAGTTCAACACTAGAGGTTGGATAATGTCTGAGGTTAATATCAGCACTAGAGGGTGGATAATGTATGAGATTAATATCAGCACTAGAGGGTAGATTATGTCTGAGGTTAAATTCAGCTATAGAGTATGGATAATGTCTTAGGTTAAGTGCAGCCCTAGAGGAAAGATTATGTCTGAGGTTAATGTCAGCACTAGAGGGTGGATACTGTCAGATGTTAATATCAGCACTAGAGGGTGGATAATGTCTGAGGTTAAATTCAGCACTAGAGGGTGGATAATGTCTGAGGTTTATGTCAGCACTAGAGGGTAGGTAATGTTTGAGGTTAAGTTCTGCACTAGAGGAAAAATTATGTTTGAGGTAAATGTCAGCACTAGAGGGTGGATACTGTGTGAGGTTAATATCAGCACCAGAGGGTGGATAATGTTTGAGGTTAAGTTCAGCACTAGAGGGTGGATAATGTCTGAGGTTAATGTCAGCACTAGAGGGTAGATTATGTCTGAGCTTGATGTCAGCACTAAAGGATAGATTTTGTCTGAGTTTGATGTCAGCACTAAAGGGTAGATTTTGTCAGAGCTTGATGTCAGCACTAAAGAGTAGATTTTGTCAAAGCTTAATGTCGGCACTAAAGGGTAGATTGTGTCTAAGCTTGATATCAGCACTAACGGGGAAATTATGTCAGAGGTTAAATGTAATGTCAGCACTTAAGGGTAGAATATGTCTGAGCTTGATGTCAGCACTAAAGGGTAGTATATGTCTGAGCTTGATGTCATCACTAAAGGGTAGAATATGTCTGAGCTTGATGTCAGCACTTAAGGACAGAATATGTCTGAGCTTGATGTTGGCACTAAAGGGTAGAATATGTCTGAGCTTGATGTCAGCACTAGAGGGTAGAATATGTCAGAGCTTACTGTCGGCACTAAAGGGTAGGATAGGTCTGAGCTTGATGTCAGCACTAAAGGGTAGAATATGTATGCGGTTATATTGTACATGTAGTAATGAAGTTGTAATCGAGCAAAAGGTCAAATCGTGATCGAAGACAAGGATTAAGTCTAGTGAAATTGTAATCGAGCATACAATTGTCGTCTGGATCAAATAAAGATCAAGCTCAATGTCGAGATCAACGTCGGGATAAAATGGTCATGCGGGATTAGGCTGCCATTGGTCAATCTTTCATTGTCCGACTGATGGAATCGGCCTGTTGACCTCAACTCTTTGTCTGTGTAGGGGTATACGCTTCTTTGGCACTTAATGTATGCTCGATAACTTGTGATAATAACAAAAATGCAATACACAAACAAAGAACATAATTGAGTCTCTATAACTAGCTACACATCAACATATTGATAGTCTCCCGTACTAAATAGGCACGATCATGGACATTTCTGTGTTGGTGTTATAAATCTAGGAACTATTTGGCAGGAACTGTTTCCATTACAGCAATATGAAACATATCATACAACGTTCACAGCAAATTAGAGAAATCGTTCTGTATGTAAACATCTGTAATCGTGTATGTAAATATCAAAAAGTTCCACAATAAAGAAAAACTTGCTTTGAAAATTATATCACTGACACAAAAGTGATTACATATACAAGGAAAGCTTATTTTGTATATCGGAAAAATACACTCATGTGTGACGAGATTTGTATCACCCATCACTATTCAAGTATTATGTTGATGCTAATGTGTACTGTAACCAGGGGACATACGGTAGTATACATACGATTTTAAGGTTGTACCATACATTTTAACCTTTTTTTCATTGACAACAGTACATACTTTTAAAGATAGTATAATGACTATTTACTAATATTACTTAACATTAGTTCATCAATTAACCTTTCAAAAGCAATCCCCTTCAGACAGTCTTTAAGTTATGTACTAGATATTTTCTTCAGTCGAGGTTAAATAATCCTTCCTATGCATCGAATGTTTTACTAAAACACAGGTTAATTGACATGAAAACGGAATACGTTCGTCGATGGATATGTAGACTAAAATATAGGTCAATGGAGGTGTAAAATAAATAAACAGCTAGATGGACGTGTAAACGAAGAAAAAAATTAAACGGAAGTGTAGATTAAATATGCACGTCAATGGACGTGTAAACTAGCTTCATGGGTCTATTGGCATGCACACGTAGATGAGATACACACGTCAATGGACATGTAGATTAGATACACACGTCAATGAACGTGTGCATTATATTCATGGGTCCATGGACATGTAGATTAGATACATACGTCAATGGATGTGTAAATTAGATTCATGGGTATATGGGCATGTACACGTAAATTAGATACACACGTCAACGGACGTCTACATTAGATTCATGGGTCCATGGACATGTCGATTAGATACATAGGTCAATGGATGTGTAATTTAGATTCATGGCTATATGGGCATGTACACGTATATTAGATACACACGTCAATGGACGTGTACATTAGATTCATGGTTCAATGGACATGTCGATTGGATACATACGTCAATGGACGTGTACATTAGATCCGTGGGTCCATGGACATGTCGATTAGATACATATGTCAATGGATGTGTACATTAGATTCATGGTTCAATGGACATGTCGATTAGATACATACGTCAATGGACGTGTACATTAGATTCATTGGTCCATGGACATGTAGATTAGATACACACGTCAATGGACGTGTACATTAGATTCATTGGTCCATGGACATGTAGATTAGATACACACGTCAATTGACGTGTACATTAGATTCATGGGTCCATCGACATGTAGATTAGATACACACGTCAATGGACGTGTACATTAGATTCATGGGTCCATGGACATGTAGATTAGATACATACGTCAATGGACGTGTGCATTAGATTCATGGGTCCATGGAAATGTAGATTAAATACATACTTCAATGGACGTGTACATTAGATTCATGGGTCCATGCACATGTAGATTAGATACACACGTCAATGGACGTGATCATTTGATTCATGGGTCCATGGACATGTACACGTAGATAAGATACTCACGTCAATGGACGTGTATTCTAGATTCATGGGTCTATGGACATGTACACGTAGATTAGATACACACGTCAATGGACGTGTATTCTAGATTCATTGGTCAATGGACATGTAGATTAGATACACAGAAAATGGACGTGTTCACAAAACACTCAGGTAAATGGAAGTGTGTACTTAATGCACATGTCAATGGACGTGTAAACTTTATACATATTTCAATAGAAGTACAATGTTTAAACGTATGTAAATGTATATAGATAGGTCAATGGACGTGTACATCAATCATTGTACAATATCTAGCCTTTGTTATACTGACGTTGACAAAAGATAGCTAATAGTCATTGTACAAACTTAAAATATGTATACAATGTCGACAAAAATTCAATATAAATTCCACATTTTTCTCAGCTTCAGAGAGATTCATTATAAATAAAAGAATATTCTCTAAATAACAAAAGCTAACTAGATACCGTGCATTAATTTGAAAGTGTAGACCATCAAGTAAAATCGAAACACATTTTCTTTTCTGCTACAGTGTACATTGTCATCAACAATACCCGTGAATTGATTGGACATTGGATGGAGATCATACTATATATACATTTCCCCTTACTTACGACGCTGATATTGATCTGGTAATAGTGCTAGACAGTTCTGCCTACTCTGCTGGTCAAGACAGCTTGCAAAAGCTGTGAATAACAACGATGTGAAGTCACGAACATCTGGCTGAAGCGAGGATTTGTCAAAAAAGAAAGTAAAATGAAACATTCTTTGGCGTTTGAAACAGAGAAAGCTCAATCCATGAGATAAGATTTTTCAGTAGTTGATAAAACTTTGTTCTATGAAAGCAAACATCTTTGTCATGGGTTGAGATTTATCTGTCTGTATCTCACATGTAGGATTTTTACTATAGTATAAGTCAGACGTCTTAGCAACCTTTATCAATCTAATAAGTAACATGTCTACGTCGGATGTGTATAATCTAGCGATAACCCATTTGAACTTGCATGATGTACAAGGTCGGGCTATTAATCAACAGTTGTTGGATGTACGATTTGTTTTCTATTGAATTCGTGTATTTTAGTTCTTTTTAATTGTAATTTGTTTTGGTGTTGTGACATGAAGCACCTAGGGAACTGTTTTCCTCGTAAAAAACATCAGCAAATTTCTGCGAGAAAAAAATATGAACGTGCTGTTCAATATACACACATGTTCAAAATGCTCTTATAAGATGTTCATTTTTCAACATAAAGGATGAACAGATGTACAATGGTTCCATAAATAGAAAAGTCAGTCGTAAAATCTGTCAAATAACAAATTGCTCAACTTTCACAAGTTTCTAGAAACACGCACACGGATCTGAAAAAAAGTATCACATGTTGAAAGGTAACCCTCCGGTGGAATGGACTCCATAATAAGTCTGCATCATACACATTTGAATGTATATAATGTATTGTTCGCTGTAACGGAATAGCAGATTACAATTCAAACATCACTCGGGCACACTGTCGTTTAATTTAGTTGACGGTGATTTAAACGAGTACACGTGTCCATTTTGCACACCATTCACTGTTATTCTTTTCACATGCATTTCGGATCTAGTTCGTCTGAATCCTGGAAACTCCTTTCGTTGGTCTCCAAAATACTGTACGGGTCTTGAGCGTTTAAACGAGTCTGATGTGCCCGTGCTGTTTTTCATACTTCCGCCTCTGATCACTGTATGTTTTCGGTAAATAATACTATCATAGTTTGACAGGCTATACGTCCGTGTCATCATGTGTTTAAAGCAACAACAACACGGAAACCACTTGTTGAGGAGGACTGCCATGTCTGCCTGAAACCCAGACATTAACACAATTAACTGAGAAAATTATTCACAATGTGAAATTACGATTCAAAACAATATAAACCACAGCTTCGACACAAAGGGATAACATTGGAAGTCAACGCAAACGGACAGGGACCGAGAAAATTACAAAAGTCAAAACAAATCCTTTTTTAAAGTCAGGCGAAATTACATGTAAATTCTCAAAAAGGAAAAGCTGCAGCACACCTCACACACTTTTCATGTTGTCAAATCTTAAATTTACAATTTACCGTGTATACAAGCTACATGTAACAGCAAATTTGATTTACCTTTGTGTCGTATTAGGAATTGACATTTGCTGAATTAGATGTCGCATATATTCTATTTATTTAAAACTTTTCTCATAATCCTATCAACGGTTACATACCGAAGTTTTGTTTATAACAAAACGTTAACAATTCGTATCTCTTTTAACTCTTTGTTCATCTTAGTCCCCCTTGATGTAAGCTCAGTTCATAGGCTAAGGTCTAATTAGGAACATAATATATCGTGATTTTAAACATTTGAACACTTCCAACCATTTAATTCTGTGACAAAAACTAAATTTTATGTATGCATGCACAATACTTACCCTGAAGCTTGCGTTTGTAAAACCATAAATGATTGGGTTAGCAAAGCTGTTAGACATAGCCAGCCAATGAGCGGTGAGATAAATGCCCATGAAGAACTGGATGTCCTCAGTTGTGGCTAGGAGCTCTGGATGGGAGTCTATAAACAGTGTGAAAGCGTGAATAGGCAGCCAGCAGATACCAAACATCACCACCACAATCACCAGCATCTTCACCACCTGTGGAAACACAAGACAAAAATAGTTTAGCATGATAATCACCAAACCATAAAGGTTTATTTTTATTGCTAAAAATACTTACAATTAAATTATAGACAACTATAATACAGAATTACAGGTACAAACTCGACCATTTATTGATTAGACAACAATCTATAGAGTACAACAGTTTTCCCACTCGCATACAGCTTTAGATTAACAACTCCCTTGAATACTCCTATTCCATCAGTACTTTCTCACAATAATAAATAGTTCAATTCTCACCATACAGGATAACACAGTTCTCGCATTAAACAATCTCACAGATACAACCTACTTAATTCTAACAACATTATAGAATGGAACAATCCAATTCTATATCCGAGTTGTGAATAGAGTCAATGAACTTAACATTGTTGTGATAAACAATATTTAAGAAATAATCAACATATGTGCGTGCATTATGGTGGAATATATAACGAGGATGAGAAAATGTTGGTAAAAATAATTAACGAAGGCCGCTTCACTGGACAGCTGTGTTTTGCAACCACTGTTCAGACCGATGCTACTTTTTGCAACATTGTTCTTCACACACGGTATGTACACTGTAGGCAAATGCTCGACATCACTTTGATTTTGAAAGCAGACGACGTTTTGCAGACCAGAAACAACTGAACACGTGTGACGTCAGATACGATGTTTATTTCAATCAATCAAACATTGGCACGCTATCGACATCGTTCGTCAAAACATGAAATCAACGCTTGACAGTACATACACAGACTGTACACATCGTGAAATGTACGGCACTACCCAGTGAAGTAAAATCAGATGTAATTAATAATTTACCATTTTGTCTTCAGACCTGTACATTTTAAATGTCAATATTTAATAACCATTTTCACTGCACGGACCCACATACTTTAGGTCTATAGATCCGTGTAATCTTTTGAATGGCCGGCCTGTCAAATATTTTGATCCCGCCTGACAGTTATGCTATTTTTTTTAATTCATGATAAAATACGGGGAGGTTGTTGGAACAGCATGCGTGCGCACTATTTCACGTGCAATGGTTATTCGCATGCGCTTGGTATATCGCTCAATAATGCGCTCTTTTTAACCAATGAAAACAGTCGTTACATCACAGACGTGGTAGAATTAACAATAACAATATCAGGAAATGTTTGATCTGAGAATAACCAATTGCTTCATAAAGGTAAGCTATAGATCTACAGTAATCCTGACAACAATTAAAACTTGTTGTTCATTAACTCACATAACTGTCATAAGTACTACAATAACTCGATATAATTATATATTTAGATAACTAATAATTAATAAAAAAATACTTTCATAAGTCATTTTCTGGTCAAACACACGAACGTGAACTCTCATCTACAGCAGAATATATTACAATGAAATTCTATTATCGGCTGTGGAAATACTGATAAATATTGCTATATTCCCAGTTCACTTTCCTGATTATCGTTATCAATTATAATTACCATAATAAACCCTCAATACAAACGTAACAGCACAAAGGCTACACCTAACCTAACACAAAAAGACAACACATGCTCCGGAACTCTTTGTCCATCGCTGACACACATCTCGACAAACACAGCAACACACCAGGCAGACAAACGCTGACTGACAGTTTTTGACAGAAACTGCTCCAATTTGGAATGAAGTCGCGTGCCACTATAACTACCGCTGGAAATGGTTGGAAATGGTTGGAAATGGCTGGTATTCGCTGAAATACCCTCTAACAAACATTAACATTGTTTAACGTTGTAGAACCGTAATAAATATCAACAAAACATAAATATAACTCTGATAACTCACATACCTTTACTAAAATGACCGTGAATTACTCTTTATCCACCAGAACATACAACGGAAATATTCTCAATAGAAAATACGAAATTATACTCAGCCTAGCTCTATAGCTGTCAAAACACTATCGGTAACATGTGCTTCAGCCTACCGATTACGTGACGGTTTTCAACGGACATCACAGAGTAAATAAAGCGTAAATAAATCTAACGGCACTCGTTATATTTGGAGGAATCAATTACTATCATGATTTGTAGATTTGCGACTAGAATATGATACAATTCCTTTGTTTTTCACAAGTGTAACAATCGCCCAATAATTTTTGAAACAGTAACGAAACAATAAACACTAAAGCGTCAGGAGCAACATTTTAAATTGAGATTAAACGATATGGTCTCATCAGCATTACAGTATACACTTAACGATAGGGTCTCATCAGCATTACAGTAGACACCTAACGATTTGGTCTCATCAGCATTACAGTATACACTTAACGATATGGTCTCATCAGCATTACAGTACACACTTAACGATTTGGTCTCATCAGCATTACAGTAGACACTTAACGATATGGTCTCATCAGCATTACAGTACACACTTAACGATTTGGTCTAATCAGCATTACAGTAGACACTTAACGAGATGGTCTCATCAGCATTACAGTATACACTTAACGATAGGGTCTCATCAGCATTACAGTAGACACCTAACGATTTGGTCTCATCAGCATTACAGTAGTATACACTTAACGATATGGTCTCATCACCATTACATTATACACTTAACGGTATGATATCATCAGCATTACAGTAGACACTTAACGATATGGTCTCATCAGCATTACAGTATACACTTAATGATATGGTCTCATCAACATTGCAGTAGACACATAACGATATGGTCTCATCAGCATTACAGTAGACACTTAACGATATGGTCTCATCAGCATTACAGTAAACACTTAACGATATAGTCTCATCAGCATTACAGTAGTATACACTTAACGATATGGTCTCATCAGCATCACAGTAGTATACACTTAAGGATATGGTCTCATCAGCATTACAGTAGACACTTAACGATATGGTCTCATCAGCATTACAGTAGACACTTAACGATATGGTCTCATCAGCATTACAGTAGACACTTAACGATATGGTCTCATCAGCATTACAGTAGACACTTAACGATATGGTCTCATCAGCATTACAGTAGACACTTAACGATATGGTCTCATCAGCATTACAGTAGACACTTAACGATATGGTCTCATCAGCATTACAGTAGACACTTAACGATATGGTCTCATCAGCATTACAGTATACACTTAACGATATGGTTTCACCAGCATTACAGTAGACACTTAACGATATGGTCTCATCAGCATTACAGTGGACACTTAACGATATGGTCTCACCAGCATTACAGTAGTATACACTTAACGGTATGGTCTCATCAGCAGTACAGTAGTATACACTTAAGGATATGGTCTCATCAGCATTACAGTGGACACTTAACGATATGGTCTCACCAGCATAACAGTACACACTTAATGATATGGTCTCATCAGTATTACAGTATACACTTAACGATATGGTCTCATCAGCATTACAGTGGACACTTAACGATATGGTCTCATCAGCATTACAGTAGACACTTAACGATTTAGTCTCATCATCATTACATTATACACTTAGCGATATGGCCTCACCAGCGTTACAGTAGACACTTAACGTTATGGTCTCATCAGCGTTACAGTACACGCTTAACGATATGATCTCATCAGCATTACAGTAGACAATTAACGATTTAGTCTCATCATCATTACATTATACACTTAGCGATATGGGCTCACCAGCATAACAGTACATACTTAACGATATGGTCTCATCAGCATCATAGTGGACACTTAACGATATGGTCTCACCAGCATAACAGTACATACTTAACGATATGGTCTCATCAGCATTACAGTAGACACTTAACGATTTAGTCTCATCATCATTACATTATACACTTAGCGATATGGTCTCACCAGCGTTACAGTAGACACTTAACGATATGGTCTCATCATCATTACACTAGACACTAAACTTATAAAGACTCTTTAAAATGGACGAATCAAATTTTCGATAGACTCTAAACGATATAGGCTGGTCATTATTACCATTCCATTTAACGAGGTACCAATAGTGTTATGAGTCCTGCATGCTTTTTAATCTTCGAAGTACAATGTGTAATGTTCATGTTGTTTGAAATCAAATTTTGCACACAAAACGTAGGTCCTATTGTCTTATATTACATAGAACAATATACAATGGATACACTTAGATTAAAACTACAACTTGGTTACCTAAAAAGCATAACCAGTATACTCAAATTAATCAACATGTCAAAAACGAACGCTTTGTTTACCTAATGAGAGCGGTGTCCAGGGATTTTTCCGGTGCTCTAGTTTGCTTGTAGTTTGTTGTAGTACAAACACATCTGCCACAGGTTGTTTACGTAAAGAAAAGTGTAACATGTGTAGCAGGACAATTCAAAACCAATCTAGCAACGGAGCTCCAATTTATTGACATTTTCAGATGCCAAGACAGAAAGTCAATATTTCTCATGACATAGAACTGCATTCAAATAGAAATAAGAATTATTTAGCAATCGATTTTGAATGTAGTCTTTGAAATATGTACCGCGTATAACTGGTTTACGTCTATCACACTACAATGTTCGGGCTATGAATCATGTATATATACATATATAACGCTCTGTGATGTTAATTTATCGTTATCCAATAAACAATGAACCTATTTAAGGGAACCCGTTATTGGAATTGTATAACACTCTGCGAATGTTTATTGAAAAGACAAAATGCCAATAGCCTCCATAAACACTTCGGTCATGATAAATCAAACAGGCTTTAAACCCCCGGCTATTAACAACGGCTTTATCCGTGTTTTATACACTGTTCTTACAATGATATACACACACGTAGCATGCAAAGCTCCAACACGTGCTGCGTCCAGGTACAACAGTTTTGTATACCAATAACGAATGTGTTGTACTTCTATATTTGTTTCATAACATGATTATACAGCACAGCTACGGTATATATCTGTACCAGGGAACGCATTCAGAGTATTTTATTCCTTAGCCATAGCGTTATATATTCTCAATGCTGTTTGGAA